GGGTCGACTTCTTTCAGACCTTCTCCCCCACCCCAAAGATGACCACTCTTCGGGTGTTGCTACTCGTTGCAGCTCAGCGTGACTACGAGCTGCACTCCCTCGAATTCTCGACAGCTTTCTTGCAGGGTAGCCTTCACGAGGCCATCTGGTTGCGCCGTCCACAGGGCTTCACTAGGTCGTTTCCTGCGGGTACCCAGTGGAGCCTACGACGACCAGTATACGGCCTGCGTCAGGCACCCCATGAGTGGCACGACATACTGAGGACGACACTTGCGGCTCTTGGGTTTGCTCCTTCGACAACTGACCCGTCGCTGTTTCTTCGCACCGACTCTACTCTGCCATCGTTCTACATCCTCGTGTACGTCGACGACTTGGTTTTTGCTACTGCTGACACTGAGGCACTGGCCCGAGTGAAGGCGGAGCTGCAGGAGAGACACACCTGCACTGACCTGGGTGAGCTGCGGAGCTATCTTGGCTTGCAGATCACCCGGGACAGACCACGGCGCACTATCACCGAGACTCAGTCACACATGGTGCAGAAGGTCCTTCAGCGCTTCCGCTTCACGTACTCCTCGCCACAGCCCACTCCTCTGGCTACCGGCCACTCGCTCTTAGCTCCACCTTCGGACGAGTCCGTAGAGCCTAGTGGCCTGTACCCAGAGCTTGTGGGCTGCCTCATGTACCTGATGACGTGCACACGACCTGACCTCGCGTACCCTCTCAGCCTTCTGGCTCGCTACGTGGCACCCGGCAGGCACCGAAAGGTGCACTTTGATGCTGCGAAGAGGGTACTGCGTTACTTGTGCAGCACATCGGGCATGGGGCTTGTGCTTAGAGGACGGGGTTCGGTGGTTCTCACAGGACACTCTGACGCCTCTTGGGCCGACAACCAGGCGACTCAGCGTTCGTCACAGGGCTACACTTTCAGTCTTGGCGCTGGTTCTGTCTCGTGGAGGTCCACTCATTCTTCTTCTGTGCTTGGTTCCAGTTGTGAGGCCCAGATCTACGCTGGGGCCATGGCTGCACAGGAGCTCCGCAGGCTGACCTACCTGCTGACCGACTTGGGGGAGCGGCCTCGTTCTCCTCCATTTTTGTACGTCGACAACAAGGCAATGCTTTCCTTGTGTCGCGAGCAGAGACTGGAGCACAGAACGAAGCACATTGCTCTGTGCTACTTCCTTGCGCGTGAGCTGCAGCAGCGTGGTCAGCTGCGCCTTGCTTTCGTGGCCTCTCGGGCCAACACTGCTGATGTCTTCACCAAGGCCCTTGGGGCTGGTGATCATCGGCGTTTCTGCACTGCTCTTGGGCTTGTGCCCACTCTGCCTCACCTGCTGGTTGCTTGACTTGCTCTTGTTGTACAATGCTATATATATCTTTATACCTGCATGTTTACTTTTGCTAGGTTGTAATCGGTGTACTGCCTTGCTATTGTAAATCTGCTATTGAATTTTCCTTGTGGCCGCTTGCTTGTGCTCAGATTGTGTGGTGTCCTTGAGATCCACCCTGGGCTTTGCCTTGTTTGTTCTCTTGCTTGACTGGTCTTGTGACCACTGTTAGGTTTGGCTATCCCCTACTTCACCTATGGGGGTGTGTCAAAACATATTGTTGTGTTCTTACTCTAGGTTGTGTAGGGTCACATCTTAGAGGGTACAACCCAACTCTCTCGACATCCTTGTACCCCCTGAGGAAATTAGAACGAGAATGGAATCACTATGGAATGAAAGTGATACAAATATGCAACCCTAGAAATGTGTACCCCATATGGGCTACCCCACTAAAGCCTAGACAACATTATAATTTGACACACCCCCATAGGCAAAGTGGGGGAGAACAAGGGGTCACAAGACCAGTCAAGCAAAGCAAAGCAAAGCTCAGGGTGGATCACAAAGTCACCACACATTCCGAGCACAAGTTCAAGGTCATAAGGCCAGTTCACATGCAGGAGCACATACATATATATATAAGATGCTAAGCAAACAAGAGCAGGTGTATCTATATGTGACAGTACAAGCAAGGTCAAGAAGTGAGCAAGTGAGGTAAGAAAGGCACAAGACCAAGCTGAGTACAGAAGCGCTGATGATCACAAGGCGCAAGTGCCTTGGTGAAAACATCAGAAGTGTTGGCCTCAGAGGCCACGTACGTAAGCCGCAACTGACCACGCTGCTGTAGCTCACGAGCAAGGAAGTAGCAAAGAGCAATGTGCTTTGTTCTGTGCTCCAGTCTCTGCTCTCGACACAAGGCCAGCATGGCCTTGTTGTCTACGTACAGCACTAGAGGAGAACGAGGCGGCTCTCCAAGGTCGGTCAGCAGGTAGGTGAGCCAGCGAAGCTCCTGTGCAGCCATGGCCCCGGCGTAGATCTCGGCCTCACAACTGGAGCCGAGAACAGAAGACGAGCGAGTAGCCCGCCACGAAACAGAGCCGGAACCAAGGCTGAAGGTGTAACCCTGTGACGACCGCTGCGTAGCCTGGTCGTCAGCCCAAGAAGCGTCCGCGTGCCCAGTGAGGACCACTGGACTCTGCCCTCCAAGCACTAGCCCCATGCCCGACGTACTGCACAAGTAGCGCAACACCCTCTTTGCTGCAGCCATGTGCTCTGGTCTGTGTCTCCCAGGAGCAACATAGCGTGCAAGAATGCTAAGAGGGTATGCAAGGTCAGGTCTTGTGCAGGTCATCAGGTACATGAGGCAGCCAACAAGCTCTGGGTACGGGCCACTCGACTCTACGAACTCATCCAAAGGCAGAGCTGAGAGCGAGTGGCGAGTAGGCAGAGGAGTGGCCTAAGGCAAGGAGTACGTGAAGTCGAAGCGCTGAAGGACCTGCTGCACCATGTGTGACTGAGTCAGGGTGATGGTGCGGCGTGCTCTGTCCCGGGTGATCTGCAAGCCAAGGTAGCTGCGCAGTTCACTCAGGTCTGTGCACGTGTGTCTCTTTTGCAGCTCAGACTTCACGTGGGCGAGTCCAGCAGTGTCAACAGTGGCAAAGACCAAGTCGTCGACGTACACGAGGATGTAGAACGGCGACAAAGAGGTGTCAGTGCGTAGAAACAGCGACGGGTCAGCACTAGAGGGAGCAAACCCAAGAGCCGCAAGCGTAGTCCTCAGTGTGTCGTGCCACTCGCGCGGTGCCTGGCGGAGACCGTAGACTGGCCGTCGGAGGCTCCACTGGGTGCCAGGAGGGAAAGTCCCAGTGAAGCCAGGTGGACGGCGCAGCCAGATCTCCTCGTGCAGGCTACCCTGCAGGAAAGCAGTGCTGAAGTCAAGGGAGTGAAGCTCGTAGTCACGCTGAGCGGCTATGTGTAGCAGCACCCGAAGAGTGGTCATCTTCGGGGTGGGAGAGAAGGTCTGAAAGTAGTCAACTCCCTGCCGCTGACTGAAGCCACGAGCCACGTACCGCGCCTTGAAGACAGGCGGAGAGCCCGGCGGCCGCTTCACCCTGAAGATCCACATGCCACTGACGATGTTCGCCCCAGGTGGGGGAACCGCGTCAACGTAGGTGCCTGTGGACTTCCGGGAAGCCATCTCTGCATCCATAGCTGCCTGCCACTGAGAAGAGTAGGGACCCTCTACGGCCTCCGCGTAAGAGCGCGGAGTCGGGATGTCAAGTGCATCCGGGTCTCCCTCAGGGGTAAGCAGTACGGACGCGAGATGAGGTGAAGCAGCAGCCAGACACTGGAACTCCTCCTGCCTGTCCTCAAGGACGTCCGTGCCAAGAGCACACTCACCCCCGACGGACGGAGGAAAGACAGACGCAGACTCAGCAACGAGAATAGCAGCGTTGTCTAGACGACAGCGAGCAGCAAAGTCGACGAGCTCAGCAACAAGAGCAGACGCAGCAGTGGACTCAAAAGAGGGGTCAGTGACGACAGTAGCAAGGAGACGCGTGACAGTAGGACTGGCAGCACGAAGAGAGTCCGACTCCGGGTCGGCAAGGGCACGAAAAGAGGACTCAGGAGGAGAAGGCAAAGGGACACGCAGAGGAGCAGTAGACGGACGCAGAGACATCCGGTGCGTGCCAGGGACAGGAGGAGGACGCTGACGCGACCACTAGCGCGAGCAGCATGAACCGGCGACGCAGGACGAGACGCAGGCTCACGACGCTCAGCAAGACCTCCAGTAGGACCAGTGTAGGGAGAAGGAGCAGGCACTGGGGAGGCCGGCGGTAACTGTGACTGTGACTGGACAGGCGGTGGACACTCAAAGGGAGGAGGAAGACCAAGAACCTGCTGAAGGAGCGGAACAAAGTACGGCCGAGGCCGCGCGGCGACTCCAGACACAGCAGGGACAGCACCAGCACCCCCAGTGGCAGCACCAGCGCCAACAGCACCTCCAGCTCCAGTACCTCCAGCAGCACCACCAGCACCCGCAGCAGGACCGCCGCTAGGACTGACAGCAGTAGCCTCAGCGCCAACACCCTCAGCAGCTCCGACTCCAGTCGCACTCGCAGGCCCAGCAGCTCCAGCACTCCCAGGGCTAGCACCTCCGAGACCGGCGGCACCAGCACCCTCAGCAGCAGAAGAAGCACCAGCTCCAGCAGTACGCCTCCAGCGCCGGGCAAACCACTCGCGCAGCTCCTGTGGAGAGAGTGGCTCCCGCCGAGACGAAGCACCCGGAGAACCACCAGGCCCAGCACCGCCAGACGCCACACGAGCAGGTCCTGCGGCCGCGGGCTCCGCACCCCCAGGCTCAGCAGCTCCAGACTAAGTACCCCCAGGCTCAGCAGCTCCAGACGCAGCACCCCCAGGCTCAGCAGCTCTAGACGCAGCACCCCCAGGCTCAGCAGCTCCAGACGCAGCACCCCCAGGCTCAGCAGCTCCAGACGTAGCACCCCCAGACTCAGTACCCCCAGGCTCAGCACCCACTCGCGCAGCACCCCCAGAGTCAGCACCCCGAGGCTCAGCACCCGCAGCAGTACGAGAGTCACCAGCAACCTCGACCGGCTCGACTGCGTCTACCTGGGACACACCTAAAGGGGCAGGACCCTGAGGGGGGAGGGGGTCTACCTAGGGGGGACCTGGCACAAGGAAGTGCGGCGGCGGGGGGAGGGAAGGAGTGCGGTAGGGGAAGAGACGGTAGTAGGGGACCGACTCGTCAAACGTGACGTGCTGGGAGGACAGAACACGACGAGAGGAGGGGTGGTAGAACTGCCACCCTGGTGCGTCAGGGGGGAAGCCAAGGAAGACACAAGGAGCAGCACGAGGGGACAGTTTGTCCGCAGACAAGTCGCGGAAAAACGCCCGAGATCCCCAGACACGGAACGCAGACGCATCGCCTACCTTCCCCGTCCACAGCAGAGCTGGGGAGGTCTCCGGCATGGAGACCCTGGGGTGAAGGTTGATCTGATGCGCCGCGTACCGAACCGCAAACGGCCACAGAAAATGGGGGGCAGCCGCATGCATCATGGACGTACGAGCGACGTCCATGACCATGCCAATGCGGCGCTCAGCAATCCCATTTTGCTGTGGAGAGTCCGGAAGCGTATAGGTCTGGCGGATGCCTCGCGCACGGCAGTAGGCTCGCAGAAGGCCAGAGGAGAACTCTCCGCCTCGGTTAGAGTGTAGACGCAGAACAGGAAAGTCCGAGCCGAAGCTCCTCCTGAGCTAGAGACGAGCTGCGCGGATCCAGTCGATCAACACCTCAGTGACATCACCCTTGCTGTGCAAGGGGAAGACTGACGCGAGTAGTCGTCAACCACCAGCAGGAAGTAGCGCTCGTGACCCTGTCCACGGACGCGGGCCGGGCCCCACACGTCCATGTGAAGTGTCTGCAGCGGGGCCTCTGTCGGGGGAAACTTAGAGGAGTGAGGGGCAGCCCGGAGCCGCCCCTCGACACAGGGAACACAGGAAGGACCAGGCCCTGGAGGAAGGGGAGGGAGGGACCGGGGGAGACCAGAGACAAGGACACGGGAAGCCATGCCTCGGAGACGAGGCAGGGAGGGGTGACCAAGACGGTGGTGCCAGAGGAGAGTCTCGTGAGACAGGAGGCGACACGAGCAAGGGGCAGACTCAGGACCAGACCTGGACGCTGCAGCAAACACCTGACCCGACGCAGCTACCTGGCTAGACGTAGGGACAGGAGGAGACCCAGTGGTCAGGGTGTAGAGGCTCGACCCCGGCCGACGCGTAAACGTGGCCAGGTGCCGGCCTGTGCGAGCGTCCGAGCAGTGGGTCACCGCTGACTCGCAGGAGTAAACTGGTGAACCCCCGTGTCCTGCAGGTCAGCACCACTCACCAAGTTTGTAGAGAACGAGGGGAGGTAAAGACCAGACAAGGTGCCAGAGGGGGCAGCCGGACACGGGAGGACAGTGGAGAAGTGAGAGAGGACAAGACCCCCAGAGGGGTCTGCCAGGGAGACTGCAACCGGCCGACCAAGCAGCGTGAGTGTGGTGCGGTCTCGAAAGAAGGAGCGAGAAGCCTCTGAGTCAAGTGTGAAGGTGAGGGAGGCCGAAGCCGACGTGGTACCTGAGAGCGCAGACTCACCAGCACCTGAGGACGCGGACGCACTGGCACCTAGAGCAGCAGCCTCACCAGCACCTAGAGCAGCAGTACCAATGCCCGGGTCGGGCGGGAAACACCGGTAACAGTCACCATCATCACTAATAGACACAGCATACATGGCAGCAAGGATAGCATTAAAGTCAAGATCATAGATAGCTACGCCTGCGCTAGAAAGCTCTCCCCAGCGGGGGATCTCACTGGCCTCCGGGAACTGCTGACGCCAAGCGTCCGTCAGGCGGCCAAAGCAGCGCTGGGTGGGGTGGGCACCCCCACACTGCTCACCCGCGCGGTCGCCGGAGCGAAGGACGTAGGTGCACGGACCAAAACCCCCACCACGCTGACGCTGCGCGTACCACTCACGGGGCTGCTGAGGGGGGGGAATGTCCCGAGAACGCTGCTGCTGCTGCTGGCGCTGACCACCACCAGGGCTGCGCCGCTGCGAAGCGCCACCCCGACCACCGCCACCTCCTCCACCACCGCCTCCTCCACCTCCGCCACCACCGCCGCCTCCGCTAGCACCGGCGCCGCCTCCGCCGCCTCCGCCTCCGCCGCCTCCGCCTCCACTACTGCCACCGACACCTCCACCCCCGCCACCACTCCCACCGCCACCCCCACTCCCTCCGCCGCCTCCACCGCCACCTCCACCACCCCTGCTAGCTCCACCCGCGCCCTTGCCCCCCTTGCCCTTGCCAGAGCGGCGTCTCCCGCTAGGGGCAGAGGCCGCACCGACCGACTCAAGACCAACGAGGTCGGCCGCAGCGGCAGAGGCGATAGAGGGCAAAAGGGGGGAAGGAGAACACCCCTCAAAGATGGGGGTGCGAGGGTCACCAAGAGAGGCTCCTACAGCGACTATGCTCTTCTCCGCTGCTAGGAGGGCCTTCTCTAAGAGGTCAACAGTGAGAGTGGTGGGACGGACTGAGAGGAAGTGGTCCCTGACTACATGAAGAGAGTCAGGGAGGCGGGTGACTATATAATAGAGAGTGATGTACATGGGGGGGGGGTTCTTGGCGCAGAACTCAGCACGAAGCGCGGCGCGGTAGCGAGTGTCACTAGTGCGGAGGTGCGTAATGAGGTCAGCGACTGTGGGAAAGGCAGCAAGGTCAGGGAAGAGGTACGGTAGCATGAGGCGGCTCAGTGCAGCAGTGGCAGGGGAAGAGTAGCGCGCAACTACAGCGTCGTACAAGGTCTGAGCACTCTTGTACTGACTAAAGTGCGCGCGCTCAGTGGTAGGCAGGTGGCGACGCACAGCAAGACGTGCAGCACCATCACGCGTGGCCCACTGGGAGCGAACAGTGGGGTCAGCATCAGCAGCAGGGGTAGGAGAGGCGTCAGAGGTGAGGTCAAAGAGAGAGAGACCATCTGCCCTATCGCACTGTAAGAACAGCTGCAGGTCGTCGACCCAGACCTCAAAGTCAATGGCTGGACCCTCAGCGTCAAACGCGAGGACACTAGGGGTAGCCATGACAACAGTAGACTAGCAGTACCAGCTGTAGGACAGGGGCAGTGCAGTGACAGAAGCGCTGCTCTCACCAGACAGGGCGGTTCGGGCAGCTCAGTAGCACAGCAACACGGCAACACAGCTGCTCGGACGGCTCAGCAGCAACTGCGGCTCCACGGCACCAGCGGCTCGGCTCCTCAGGCGGCTCGGGCGGCTCGGGCGGCTCGGGCGGCTCGGGGTGAACGGGCGGCTCGGGCGGCTCGGCTCCTCAGCGGCTCAGGCGGCTCGGGCTGCTCGGGCAGGTCGGGCGGCTCGGGTTGCTCGGGCGGCTCGGCTCCTCAGCGGCTCAGGCGGCTCGGGCGGCTCGGGCGGCTCGGGCGGCTCGGGCGGCGCGGGTGGTGTAGGGCGGTAGGGCCGCTGGTAGGGCGGCGGGGCCGCAAGGTAGGTGGCGGGGCCGCAGTGGGAGGGGCGGCGGGGCCGGAGTGAAGGGCGGCGGGGCCGCCGTGAAGGGCGGCGGGGCCGCTGAGAAGGGCGGCGGGGCCGTAGTGAGAGAGGCGGCGGGGCCGTAGAGAAGGGCGGCGGGGCCGCTGAGAAGGGCAGCGCGGCCGCTGAGAAGGGCGGCGGGGCCGCTGAGAAGGGCGGCGGGGCCGCTGAGAAGGGCGGCGGGGCCGCAGCGAGAGAGGCGGCGGGCCGCAACGAAGGGCGGCAGGGCCGCTGAGACGGGCGACGGGGCCTCAGGGAAGGGCAGCGGGGCTGCAATGTGAGGCGGCGGGGCCGTAGCGAAGGGCGGCGGGGCCGCAGCGAAGGGCGGCGGGGCCGCTGAGACGGGCGGCGGGGCCGCAGTGAAGGGCGGCGGGGCCGCTGAGAAGGGCGGCGGGGCCGCAACGAGAGAGGCGGCGGGGCCGCAGCAAAGGGCGGCGGAGCCGCAGCGAAGGACGGCGGGGCCGCAGCGAAGGGCGGCGGGGCCGAATCGACGGGCTGCGGGGCCGTTAGGGCGTTGGGGCCGCTAGGGCGGCTCGACGAAGTGAGAGCCCAGAGCGCGACTCGGGCTGAGCACGCTTCGGGCAGGAAAAAAAAAAACTCGATGTGGTGGGCCCTAGGCACAGTTCCCACGGGGGAACCTGCTCGATACCATGAGGAAATTAGAACGAGAATGGAATGACTATGGAATGAAAGTGATACAAATATGCAACCCTAGAAATGTGTACCCCATATGGGCTATGTCAGAATCCCAACCACTAGACCATTGGGATAAAAGAGCTTGTTAAGTAGCGGGTCAGAGTGCGCCCATAACCCCTCAGACAAACGCGACTGTAACCCTCCGTAGGATCAATCGGGCATCCACAGTGCAGATCTACTGACACCCCCCCACACTGGGAGGCCCAGGACTGAGCACAACGGCAACGGCCTACATGTGCATACACCGGGAATCGAACCCGAGACCGCTCTGATACCATGTCAGAATCCCAACCACTAGACCATTGGGATAAAAGGGCTTGTTAAGTAGCGGGTCAGAGTGCGCCCATAACCCCCCAGGCAAACGCGCCTGTAACCCCCCGTATGATCAATCGGGCATCCACAGTGCAGATCTACTGACAGGCTACCCCACTAAAGCCTAGACAACATTATACTTTGACACCCCCTACCTCTTACCTAATCGACACTCATTCCTCACCTAGCTAGTGATTCTAACAGAAGCTCCTTCAAGATTCTCCGCCTTTCTCCCCCTTTATGGAGACCATAGTGGTGCACATTCTTCAGCCACACGTAGGTCCTCGCCCTTTCGAGCAAGCCTCAATGGTAAAGGCATACGTATCAGAGCATGCAGATTCGTTAAGCAGATGACTCATAATCGGTATCCCATCTCTAAAGGTCGTAATTGTGGGTGTTGAAACAACCGAAAGGTTATATAAAGCATTCCCGAAGCTGCTCCACTGTATCAGTACCGCAATAGCTCATATAGAGCATGCGGAATGCCGAAGGTCACCCGAAGGTCAACCGTCTGAGGAAGTCAACGGTCGTGACCTTTGACGATCCAGTAACCGCACGACAGTTAATTCACTGCAACATGGTAAACTGTCGAGGATAGCAATAGTCATGGTTACTGTAGCTATGCAATACAGTTAATAAGGGAATGTACCCCTTAGAGTACATGGCTAGCTAGATTTCTATTTAAACCCTTGTACTCCTATCTTACAATCATCTTGTTCTCTTTCAATCATTATTCAACAAGGTCACTATAGAGATTCCATTGTCTCCTCTCAGACTTAAACCTATCCTATCCACTGGATCCTCTAGTTGTATCAGCAGTGGGTATGACGCGGATGATGTATGTGTTCGTCATATCGGGGCAGAGATCTATGTTTACATTGTATAAGGGCGAAGCTTCTAGAATATTTATCCGCAAACGTGCATGTCAACGGAAAAAAGCCGGATTGCATTCGGAGCCTACTTTCCAAAAGAGAAGGATGACTGGGACATTACTTTTCAAAACGAGCCTCATTAAGTCTGCGTCTTCCAAGTTTGCAACGATCGTTACAGTCGGAATTTTCTCTCAAAATACAAATATTTGCAAAGTAGAGGGCGCGTGAGCCGCGCACTGTCTCATCCATACGCATCGATATTGCTGTCAGATTATTATAGCTGATGCATGTTTGTAGGCCATAGTGGGGTAGCACATATGGGGTACAGTTTGCTAGGGTTGTATTTGTACCCAACTCTGACTTAGTCAATTCATTCCTCTGCTCATAGTTTCACATGGTATAGAGCTAGGTCCCTCCAGGACCGAAATTTTTTTTTTTGGGCCCACCGAAGCGCGCCCCGAGGCGCGCCCTTTTTGTTTTAGCGACCCTTCGGGTCGCCCTCTCCCCTGCGGCCCCGCCGCCTGCCCCTTACGCGGCCCCGCGCTGGCCCCTTACGCGGCCCTGCGCCGCCGGCTCCTACGCGGCCCCGCGCCGGCCTCTTACGCGGCTCCGAGCCGGCCCCTTACGCGGCCCTGGGCCGCCGGCTCCTACTCGGCCCCTTACGCGGCCCCGCGCCGGCCTCCTACACGGCCCGCCGCCGGCCTCCTACTCGGCCCGCCACCGGCCTCCTACACGGCCCGCCGCCGGCCTCCTACTCGGCCCGCCGCCGGCCTCCTACACGGCCCCGCCGCCGGCTCCTACTCGGCTCCGCCGCCGGCCTCCTACACGGCCCGCCGCCGGCCTCCTACACGGCCCGGCCCCGGCTCCTACTCGGCCCGCCGCCGGCCTCCTACTCGGCCCGCCGCCGGCCTCCTACACGGCCCCGCCGCCGGCTCCTACTCGGCCCCGCCGCCGGCCTCCTACTCGGCCCGCCGCCGGCCTCCTACTCGGCCCGCCGCCGGCTCCTACTTGGCCCTACCACCGGCCCTACCGCCGGCCTTGTCCCGGCCCCGCCACTGCACTGCAGCCGAGCCGCCCAGCAGCAGCCGAGCCGCCCAGCAGCAGCCGAGCCGCCCAGCAGCAGCCGAGCCGCCCAGCAGCAGCCGAGCCGCCCAGCAGCAGCCGAGCCGCCCAGCAGCAGCCGAGCCGCCCCGCAGTAGCCGAGCCGCCCCGCAGTAGCCGAGCCGCCCGGTACCTGAGCAGCCCGAGCCGCCTGAGCTGCACGAGCAGCCCGAGCCGCCTGCTGCTGACCTACCCGACTCTCCCATCCCGGTGAGACTTTCAGCTGCTGCTATGGCCACCCCCAATGTTCTCACTTTTGACGCTGAGGGGAGGGCCATTGACTTTGCCGTCTGGATCGAGGATCTGCAGCTGTACTTACTGTGTGATGCGGTAGATGAGGTCTCTCTCTTTGACTTTGTCTCTGGCGCTGTCCCTGCCCCGCCTGCTGATGCTGACTCTGCCGTTCGCTCCAAGTGGGCGACCCGCGATGCTGCTGCACGTCTTGCTGTGCGTCGCCACCTCCCTTCCTCTGAGCGTGCCCACTTTAGTCAGTGCAAGACCGCTCAGGCCTTGTACGACGCTGTAGTTGCGCGCTACTCCTCCCCTTCCTCCGCTACCCTTAGCCGCCTCATGCTACCGTTTCTCTTCCCTGACCTCGCTTCCTTTCCCACTGTCGCTGACCTCGTTACCCACCTCCGCGCTAGTGACACCCGCTACCGCGCTGCCCTTCCTGCTGAGTTCCGCGCTGCGAACCCTCCTCCCATGTACATCACTCTCTACTTTCTCGTCACCCGTCTCCCTGAGTCCCTTCGTGTCGTTAGGGACCAGTTTCTCTCTGTCTGTCCCACCACTCTCACTGTCGACCTCCTTGAGGAGTCCCTGCTAGCGGCTGAGAAGAGTATTGTCGCTGTAGGGGCCTCTCGGGGTGACCCTCGCACCCCCATCTTTGAGGGGTGTGGTCCCTCCCCCCTGCTGCCCTCTGTCGCCTCTGCCGCTGCGGCCGACCTCGTTGGTTTTGAGTCGGTCGGCGCGGCGTCTGCCCCCAGTGGCAGACGCCGCACTGGCAAGGGCAAGGGGGGCAAGGGAGCGGGTGGAGCCAGAGGGGGCGGTGGAGGAGGCGGTGGGGGTGGAGGGGGGAGTGGGGGTGGCGGGGGGGGTGGTGGCGGGAGTGGAGGTAGTAGTGGCGGCGGTGGAGGCGGAGGTGGCGGCGGAGGTGGTAGCGGAGGAGGCGGTGGGAGCGGTGGGAGCGACGGTCCTGGTGGGGGAGGTGGCGGTGGCGACGGGGGTGGCGGTGGAGGCGGGAGTGGCGGTGGAGGAGGGGGTCGGAGTGGCTCGTCCCAGCGGAGCAGCTCTGGGGGTGGTCAGCGCCAGCAGCAGCCACAGCAGCAGCCGCAGCAGCAGCAGCGCTCTCGCACCGTCCCCGGCCCTCAGCAGCTCCGTGAGTGGTACTTGCAGCGTCAGCGCGGTGGTGCGCTTGGTCCCTGCCCCTACGTTCTTCGCACTGGTGACCGTGCAGGGGAGAGGTGTGGAGGCGCCCACACAGCCCGTCGCTGCTTTGGCCGCCTGACCGACGCCTGGCGTCAGCAGTTTCCGGAGGCCGCTGAGATCCCCCGCTGGGGA